CCTACCCCATCATTATTGATCAACCCCATATATTATATAAATATATCCAAGTGTGGAACGTAGTTTTGTAATAACTTTGACATGTTGGTTAGTTAGACGACTTTCAAACACGAAGTTCCACTTTCGAGTAAAATCGCATGATTGAATTAAAAAAGAAATGTGTTGATGACGTTAATATGACATAAAGATGTACGGAGTATTGATTTTAAACTTATAGAAATACTAATTTATAAATAGTTCATATGAATGAATGAAATTCCAAGTGAAGTTTATAACATCCGAAAAAAATAAAATAAAGCTTAGATTTTGTCAAAAAAGAAAATGCTTAGGTTAGTAAATTTATTTTTCTATGTGGAATATAGTTTTATTTAACCTCAAGTAATTTCATTTGACTTATTACAAAGATAAGTAAAGAAATTTATATATAAATAGAGTAATTTGGGMACATTTGGTAGTTGGTTACTCTCTCTTTTTTAGATTAAATTGTTTTGTATTAATCTCTTTTTTGTGTAATATATAGTTTTAATCTTTTTCTTTATAAAATGTTAGCTAGATTTACAAAATTAGAAGTCATTTGCAAAAGAAACAAAAAAAACAAAACAGAGACGAAACAAAACAAAATTAGAAGTCTATTTAATGATGATTTTATTTTTTATATTTTGAAACCATGCTTGTTCACCATTATTTTTAATCTACAAAAAAAGTGAAAAAAAAAACAACAGTCGTTAATTAGTAAACAAGTTTAATTTTTTAGAAACATGAAATAAAAAACAAAAAAAAAAAAATCACTTTTTTGCCTCTAATTTTTAAAAGTTAGCTAAGATTCCTAGAATCCTTCTTAAAACTTATACAAATTTGTAGACCATTTATGATTCCAAATTCGATAGACTTAATTTCATGTGATGATATGAATGTCATGTAAAGTTTCTACTCAATATGCTAAACGTTTTTATACAAATGTGAGACATACAAAAATGAAATATTTTTTTAAGCATATATAAATATACTCAGGAGTGACTTTAACTTGCACATGACTCAAGTAATTAAAGCATATAATTAATATATATATATATATATCATGGACCAAAAGGTCTTGTCCCACATATTGTTAAATCAAAAAAAGGGTAAAAGTTAACTAAAATATATATAAGACTTAAACTTATATATATGGACTATGCCTCGATGGATCGAGATAGAGAGTTTAAACTAAATACATATATGAGATGAGATGGGAATATCTTAAGGATCTATAGACTAATTAATTTAAAATACACATTTGGATTACATTTAAGGGTAATAAGTATGTAATTAAGTTAATTGGCTTCAGAGTGAAGCTTGGTTGGAAGTGGAAGATGGCCCTTCTCTTGAAGGCTCTTCACAGTTTCATAAATGCATTGCTTCACAGGTTTGAATTCCATCCCCAATTCCTTAAGCTTTTTCACACTGAATTTGTAGGGCTTTTTCTTGGGGTTCACCTCGTCGGAGCACCTACCACATTAACCATTGATCTCAAACACTAATTTCAATTTATTTATAAAAGCAAAAAAAAGGGTCAAACATATATATGAAAGCACTAAAACAAAATGCTTAAAATTCAATGTCTCTAATGGCTATAATTGTACAACTACATCCAACCATTTGACCCTTTCCAATTATGTATGCTCAATCGTTTTCTATAGCCACAAAATAACAAGTTTTATCCTTGATGGTTTGATTCCATTATGTTGAAGGCACGTCCCTATCATAATTTGTTTGGTAGATTTCTAGAATGGTGTCTCACAATTTCAAAAATAAATTTTGAGATTAGTTGAGAGATGAGTACGGTATCAACTTTGACATTACAATAAGTATTCACATCAAGTTTCGAGTTTTTATTTTTTAATTAAAAAAATATTATTTGTTTATTTTCATAATTATGTTTTTAGAATTCCAAATATATATATTTAAAAATTAGAAAAAATGATATAAGCAAGCTTTCTCATGTTTAGGTACATTTAAAACTAATTTACATGATTTAGAAAATAAATAGGAGTTGAACTAGAACTAGAGATTTTCTGTTCATTTGATATAGACATCATTTTGGAATCTTGGGAGATAGGTTTTATTGAAAGTCACTATCTATCCAACCTAAAAATGGAAAAATATTGCTTAATTATATATATATATATATATATATATATATATATTTTGGGGGGTAGTTGAGTTGCACCAAGAAGTCATACTTGGTAACATTTTACCAAACACATGACCAAAGCCAAAAGAAATTCTACATCCCTTTGCCTACTTTTTATGGGTCAACTAAAACCTGAAAATTGATCCTATGTTTTGATTGCAAAGCTCTAGTTTTCATTTTAGCTCCTTTTTATAATTTGATCCAACATTTTTTTTCTGTTCAATATTAATCAAATTAATTTGG